AAAAAAACAATGTCTTCAGCATATAATCACATTGTATGGCTCTGTGGGTGTTCGTGTTTCTCTTTGCATGGCATAATTGTAAGTGAATGGGGTCCCAGCAATGTTGTTTTCATGACATAATTATAAATGAAAATATATCTGTGGTGAGCATATGCATTTCACCCCATGCAATCGATCCTGCATTATGTCTCCTTTAGCTGAGACATCATGCTTTGTTAAAAATACAATATATTTTCCACTAAAAGTTCATTGCTTCTGCAACTGATTTTCTATCTTGTCAGACCAGCTCTTGGTTCTCTCATGAACTCACTTAGTACCATGGACACAGAATGGGAGAAGGAGAACATGACAGTTAATACATAAGCTCACTGGCTGTGGCGAAAGACGGTAAGGAAGTGTTAACACCATGTCTGCTTTTTTGTTTCTGGATTAATACCGCAAAGTTTTCAAGTAGTATACTTGATAGCTATTTTCTGCTTTATTTATGTTTATATTCTTAAATAATCAAGACCATCCTCACTTTGTGGAAAGCAACAACTTCTGCATACTGCAGTCTTCTGCTCTATTGACAGATTTTACTGATTCTTTTATTTTTTACTAGGAAATATTTTCAGTACATGAAATTTAAAATCATCTTGGGGAATGGGTATATGTGCATAATACAGTTTGCTTCTCTTTTTAATCCCCTTCCTTTGCCCTCCTGCCTCCTTCTGTTTTCCTTCCCTCCTCCTTTAAATCTCCTTTGCCCATTTTCATTCTTATTGGTATTACTAATCTTAGCTCCTACTTACGATGTGTGAAGTTTACATTCACTGAGGTGGGTTCCTTCTCAGCTACTGTATTCTTTGATTGTGCTATTGCTCTGCTCAAGTATTTCAGCAGTCCTCACATTTTTACCCCTTCTGGAGACAAGAAAGGTTCCTGTCACTTGATATCCTTGAAGCAGAAGCAGGCGCTTCAAAGGAGATCTAGGAGACATAGGTGCAGGAATATTATTCTCCGACTGTTTTCTGAGCCATACAATTCACGGAAACTCATTCCAAAGCCACTGGAAGCCCCCATGAAGTCTGTATCTGGAGGTGGCATCCGTTAAAGCAATATATACATTTTCAGGGAGTGTGTTTACACTGATTCTACAACCATGATTTTATGTTGTCCAGCACTCATAGGGACACCTCAATGCTGAAACACAAGATGTCTCTATCTGCTGGGTGTTCTGCAAGGCTCAGCAGGTATAGTGACAAATTTCTGGTGGAAGGGGAAAACGCGTCTCTTTTTCTTGGTGTTAAACTCTTTTTTTTGCTAAAGTTGAAATGTAAGTAGCGGTTTGGGAGCTCCCTTAGTGAAGAGCAGTTTCATTGTGAATTTCTATTTTTTTCTTCTAAACTAGTTTGCCACTTGCATCACATGGGCCATGGCCTGATGCCTTTATGAATACAAGGAAGTTTTGAGGTAGGACAGAAGAAATAACGACAGGTAGAAAAGAGATGAGGAAAATCCTAATTTAAAATTGTGCTGTTAAGAAAAACTACAGCTTTAGGACACAAAGGTATCCAAGATTACAATGTCTCTCAAAAAACTTCCTAGCCTAGTAAATCAGGGCTGTGGTTTTCACATATAAATTGAGCCTGTGATTTTCCTCCTTTCTCAGGGAAGCAGTTCTGTTGAGAGGGGAATGTGTGTCTAACTTTAAACATGCAAATGGCTTACGCTGGGACCTAGCCCGCCAAATGGGTAGCTTGACAGACAATAGGAATACACATCCTAGATCATATGGGAGGATACCTGTAAGACAGCATCAAAACCTGCAGACCCAGGCCAAAATGCACCTGTCTCTTGAGGGCCATACTGCATTCTCTGACTGTGTACATACTTCCCTCACTCTGCCTAATAAACCCTTCTATGACTCCCACCGATGCATCCTGAAAATTCTTTTTCTGTGAGAGACGTCAACCAATACGCAATCTTCTCCGTGATGCAGGTCAGTTAAGGTCCCCATCTCCTCTTTGGTGGGAAACTCTTTAGTCTCCAGGAAGCAAGTTTCATTCATCACTCACTGGAGCTCTCTGTAGTTTAAATGGGCAGAGGAAGGAGTTTTATTTTGACCTTTTCAGCTGGGTTTTATATTTTTGTCCATAGACAGCCATATATATATATGGATATATATAATTTTTTTACTTTAACATTCAGTATGACTTCTGTAGTGATCCCAGCCCCTCTATGCCTTCCAGCTCTCTTTCCATCTGCCTCTTATACAAAGAATCCTGCAGTGTTGACACACAGGGCACTCAGCCTTGCTTCAGAGAATGTGACAGAACACTCAGGCTGCCAAATTCCTGATGGTCAGAGAGGTCTTGCTGAAGCCCAATTTAAACTGGAAACTGCACAAGCTTCACTGGGCTGTTTCAAAGTTCATGTAGCTTTAGAGCTAATCCTCTTAACATATTAGGCCAAGTGGACTCCCATTCCACAACGGCGGTGGCATAGAGGCCTCGCCAATGTTTATTTCCATTTCTCCGCATGGCAGAGTGCAAGTCACCTCACTGCCCTCTCTGGGTGCTTTCTTCACCAGCATGTCCTGCCCCAAGGTGACTCAAATTGTTTGGAGGCCAAACTGCTTAGGCTGGCATATTAAAAGATTTTCCACGATTTTCCACAACGTTGCTTTCCCCAAGCCATAGAACATTTGCAGTATGTTGGCTTGGTGGTTTCTTTCTCTCTTTCTTATTTCTCTCTCTCTCCTTCTGCAAAGGGTCGCATCTTGGCTGTCGACAAGGTAAGCATTTCCGGTATGAGTGTTTACTGAAGATGAATTCAGCATGCAGCATGCTGTTTATTTTGCTTTCTAATAAACCCACGCTCAGCAACAGTCTTGTGACGGCTGTGATTTCTTGCAAGAAATTTTCAGCTTCTTCTATACTCAGGGGAAATTTTTTTCAGTGTCATCCCTCTTCTGATAATTAGTGAAGCAGGAAGAATTCAAGATTGTGAAGAAATGATCTGAAAATAACTCATAAGAGCTTCTGTTTTTAACCTCCTAGTACTATATATAACCTCTGAATTTATATATACATCCTAGTACCATATATATGAATAACAGAAATTGAGCAAAAAAAGAAAGCTCAGTATAATCAGACTACATTTCTGATTACAAATAGGTCTCAGATATCCTAGGTAGGTACTACCAGAAAAATATTTATCATTGTTTGAACAAAATGCTTGTGTGAGTGAAGTTTTACAAGCCAAAAAACAAAAACTATTGAAAATCTTGAAATCTGAGGAAACAGAGGCATTTAAGAGAAGTTAGCATAGGAGAGAATCAGGAGTTTATATCCCAGGCCTGTTCAGTTGGAAGCTGGCTGCGTAACCATGGACAAGTTGTCCTGCACCCTTGGCTGAGATTTATTTCCTTATACAATGTCCAGGTGCAAGCACTATGACCCAAAGGTTACATTTGGTTTAAAATTTCTCAATTCTTTCTTTTTTCTTTTGTTTTTTTTTTCCAGTACTGGAAGTCGAACTCACGACCTTGAGCTTGCCAGGCAGGCGCTGTGCCACTGAGCTAAATCTCCAGCCCCTAAATTTCTCAATTCTAACAATGTAATCATGATGACCCTTCACTTAGAACATTTTTATATTTAAGCTACTGTGTTATATGCTTTACTTGTATGTTTTACAATGCTCAGAATTACCCCAAAATGTAGGCATCATTACCTCCATTTTAAATAAAGATTAGAGAATTATTTTCTCAAAGCCACACACTTTGTGAATTGGTGTAAGTGAGATTCACTTTCAGATTTATCAAATTTCTGAGTTGCTTGTGTGTTAACTATGCTTTGCTGCAAACTCACATCTGGCAAAAACTCTGGTGAGCTTTGATAAATATGGAGAAGTAGTCACAACTGTCTCTTTGCTTCTCCTCTTTCCCTCTAGTACCATAAAAATACTTTCTGTGTATGTCAAGGCAGATTAACGCTGGAGAAATAGAGAAATAGCATCTCCATTTGTTCAGATGCAGAAGACAAATTCTGCTGGAAATGAGAAAGCTTAGAAATGGAGGTGAAGTACTGATGTGTACGCCACTAAGTTTAAAAATCCACTTATTTTTAGACTAGTGGGGAAATAGAAAGAAAAATAAATAAGCAGCCAGTCATTTTAAACCAAATTTACTATCTTGTCAAAAGAATGAAAAATTTCATATGCCTTTGGAAAAACTTTCAACCTCAAATGAGCACCTAGTAACAGCCATGTCAAAGAGACTTGGTGTCTGAGTAGAAAAAAATAAAAATAATAATTTTAGGTTTTCTATATGTTTTTTTGTTTGTTTGTTTGTTTGGTTTTTGTTTTTTTCCGGTACCGGGAATCGAACTCATGACTTCGCACTTACCAGGCAGGCACTGTGCCGCTGAGCTAAATCCCCAGCCCCAGTTTTCTGTATGTTTGATAATGAGTCTCAACGCCTCAGGTGCTCATAATAATTCTAGGAGGTAGATGGAGAGAAAAATTGGTACATTTCTGTCCTGAGTTAGAAACATTGGTTAAAGAGCTCTTTCTCAGAGATTAAGCAAGGCCCAGCCACTGGCGTTGAAGTTAGAGAAACTCCTGACATAGCACCATGAGGTGTGCCTGGGAGAAGAAAGGAATGCCTTTCTCTTCTGACTGTTTGTGCTGTGAGACGAGTCACTCCTACTACAGAGTAGATGATTATGTGTGATAATGTATGAAAATACTTCACAAAGTTAATGCCACATAGTAGAAACTGAAATATCTGGTCTACCTTTATCATCCTTTTATGTGTAACTCAAACCTCTCACTTTAATGCTGGTGAATTCAGCTGAGGTCAGAAGGTGCCCAAGAGTTGTTTATCATCTTTGTTGTGATGATCTTTCAAATGTCTAAAGAAATATGAAGTAGACTTGGGCCTCTGACATAGCCTTGCAGTTTCAAAATATGGCATAGATTATGGTACAGTTATTTTCACTTTTGAGTATTTTCTCTAGCTCTTCACATATCATTGCTATAGGTCTTAGTATATATGTGTATTAAGTATATAATAATTAGAATATAAGAACTAAGGGCATTGATTATGAAAGCTAGATTCCTGGATTCAAATCCCATATTCATAATTTTCAGTTTATATATCCAAGGGGAAAATACTTAACCCTCTATGGCTCAATTTTTCTTATGTGTAAAATAAGGATAAAATTAGGGTGGCAATCACACCTAACTCATTATTGTGAGACAATACTTTTAGAATTCCTGGAAATAGTATCTGGAAAGTAAAAGGTACTCAGTAAGTGATAGTTACCATTATTCTTATTATTTCATCATATTTGAAAGCAATAGCTCATCATCCAGGATTTTTATAAATATGGGAACATTCTGTACATTTAACACATTCTTTCAGTTCACCTCCACAAGTTTAACTGCATATGTGTTTATCTCCAGCCCACATGGACAGTTATTTTGTATGTGTTCTAAAATATATTACGTACATTTTATTATACCATATATGCTGTTCTGCTTACCTTTTTATTCACTGTTATGTTCCTGAGGTTCATTTTATATATATAAGCAGAACTATTGCATTTCTTTCTGAGTTTTATAGTCCTTCACGGGCAGGTAGCTTCTTTTGTATGTTCATCCTCTGATGTCTACTTAAGTTGCTGTCACCCTTTGCTTTTACCTCCACAGCTATGATGAACATCCTGAAATGTGTTTCTCAGGGATGTGCCCTTCAGCAGGCTGACCCACTTGGAGGATGGGAGTGATCTCAGTGTTGTTCAACAGTGCCAGATGGAACACCTCGTCAAGTATGCTTCTCCTATTCTCCTTTAAACTTGCAAGAAATTTATGCTGTGCAATTTGCCTGTCATCTGGTTTGGGATGCCTGCTTCTTGCTGGATTCTATGGATGTCTTCTGCCTTTTAGCCTCAACTCCTTTGTCATTTCTGTACCTTGGGAAGTGGTGTCCTGGTGCCATTATCATAGTGTTGTGTTTCTGACTGCCTTGGTTCAGACACTAACTTCCTGTTTACTAGCTCTGGGATCTGACTGCTTCACATCCTCATCTAAAAGATGGGATTAGCAACAGCAGCTCTCTGACCAGACCAAATGACAAGGAGGACAAGTGAGCCACCTCATTTAAACCACTCAGAATGCAGCCTAGCATAGAAGAAAGCTTCAGTAATGTTTCAGAAACTTAAAAAAAAATTCTGCTTGCTCCGACTCTCTTCTCCTGCCCTTATCCTCTCTCAATACGCTGTATCAGTCAGGGTTTTACTAGAGAAACAGCTATAACATAAAATATACAAATGCATAAGAAATTACAAGGTTGGCTTATGACGGTCAGCTAAAGGGTTGCATGAGGAAGCTTGCAGAGGGTGTCTGCACAATGGAGACCAAAGGAATCAGTCCAGGGTCTGGAATTAACTGCAGCATTCTGTGCAAGTCCATGTCAGGAGGCCATTGGGTCTGAGACGGAAGGCTGAATTGCCGAGCCAATTGCTGAGGCAAGTTTAGTTAAGCTTCTAAACTTCTCAAGTTGACCTAATCAATTAGCCACTACATGTGCTTATTTGCCTTTATAGATATTTGTGTTCTTTGAGAGTAAGGAACATGACTTAGCAACTTTTGGTTTCCACGTGCTTAACCATCTAGCCTATAGGAGGCGCTTGTTAAACGATTGTATACAGGGGAGTTGGGGGTGTAGCTCAGTGTTAGAGCTCTTGCCTAGCATGTGCCAGGCTCTGGGTTCCATCTGTAGTCGAAAAAGTTTATAGAAGGATGAGCAGATGTTTTCAGTGTCATACCACCTCTCTTTTTTATTTCCTAAAAATACAGTCGTGTGCCTCCTGCTGGGTGAAATACTTCCCCCCATTGTTTCCATCATTACATCACGAAGGGCTCCCCCTGGGCTTCAGACACACAGCTCTTTATGCATTTTAAATGTGTCCCCAACAGATCAAACTGTGTTCCATGTATTACAAATGTCTGCAAATTTAAAACGTTTATTCTTAATTCCATCACCTGAGTCAATTTCTGAAGCTTAGATATTCCTGCAGGATATGAAGAGGAAGGCACTACTGATCTCTTGATAAAACTTCTCTAAAGCTCAGAGAGGTCTAGTCAGATTCTAAAATGAATTAAAGATGGACTTAAGATCAGACATTCAACCTCTGAACTATACATCAGTATTCTTCGTTGTTGGTACCCTAAAATTTCAGAATTTTTCAGATTATTTCAAGAAATGACCTTGAGTTTCAAGACCGGCTGAACTAATGTAAGAGATTTGTGTCTATCCATCACATTTTCCATTAATCTGACATAGAGGAGTTTCAGTTTTGATACCAATCAGCAAAGATTGTAGAACTGAAGGAGAATGGTGGAGAAGTAGATATTTATGGGATTTAGAGGAAGGAAAATGGGAAAAAGAGGAAATGACACTGAATGATAATTCATACTGTCTTTTTGTACTGGGAATTGAACTCAAGACCTTGCACTTGCCAGGCAGGTGCTTATGCCACTGAGGTACATTCCTGGCCTCATACTGGTTTTATAACACAGTACAGTGTAGTAGAAAATGTTAAAATAATTCAAACATTAAATATTATGGATAAAATTGTAACGATAAGTAAAAAAGAAATAGAATAAAGCTGTGTTACATTTTCTCTGAGTCTTACCAAAGTAATAGAAAAGATGTATAGTGACACATAGTACTTGCTCTGTCAGTGTATAAATGAAAATTTACGATCATCATATGAATTCTTGCTATAGTTTAGATCTGGGATGGCCAGAAAAGCCCATGGGTTAAAGTTGTGGTCTCCAGCTGCTAATATTGGGTGAAGATGGAGCCCACTAGAGGTGGGGTGTGTGGGAGGTCCCTAAGTCTCTGGGATGCTTTGAAGGGAATAGTGGGACCTCTGCCCTCAGCCCATTCTCTTCTCTTTTGCTTTTTAGGAGTGAGATGAGTGGTTTTGCTCTGCCACATGTTCCTACTGCAGGGTGCTGCTTCCTTACACGTCTAAAGCAACTGGGCCAACAGATTATGGACCAGAATCTCCAGGATCAGGAGCTAACACAAAACTTATCTTTTTATAAGTGAATTATCACATATATTTTGTCATAGCAATAGACAGCTGATTGACACCATTCTCATCTGCAATTACCATTAGTAAATATTTATTTATTCTCCCTTCTACTTAGTCTATCGAATATAAGACTTCCATGGAGCTGAACCTTAAGGAATAGGGATAAAATATTGTGTCTCAGTTTTACCTATCAATGCCTTTTACCTTTAAGTAAGTGTATTCATTTTTAAAATATTCTTTGACTTGGTGTAGGTGTCTTGCTAAGCTGCTAAACTGCCTGATCTCAGGAATTTTGGGTCAGGAATCACAGCTGCCAGAGCACTACTTCTCAGGTTTCTTTTCCCCTCTTTTACAATATGGCAGAAGAACCCCTGGATTGGTCTCTTGTAAATATTGTACAAGAAAACCAGGGCAGAGCAGGGGCTCAGAGGCATAGAGGAGAAGGGACCTCAAACTCTTGGGCTCAAGGGATTCTCTTGCCTCAGCTTCCCAAGTAGCTGGGACTATAGCTGTGAGAACTACACAAGGCTAACAAAGGTGTCTGAAGGCAGGTGTCTTAATGAATTTTGCTCAACAATTTTTAGTTAATGAGTAGGAATTAGAGCTCAGCAGCTAAAAATTTCCCCTGCCTTGTTTCCTCTCTTTGTAATGGAGCCTTGGTGAGACACTTGGACTGAGCAGCAAGTTCTGCTTTTCACTGACTGTCTTTGGCTGGTTCTCTTTTCCCCCATTTCTTGAGGTATAGTTGTGCAGTCTCAGGACTCCTCCTACCCTTCAAGGCCTGTTAAGGTTTGTTAGTCAACAAATAAGGATCAGACTAGGAATTCATGAACATTCTCCAGTTTGTTTTGTTCACATTCATTTATTCAGCAAACACTAATTAAGCACCAAGCACAGGACACTTGTTTAAGGCTGTTGATGCAAAGGTAAATACAATGAGGTTTTAACCCATAAAGAGCAGACAGGAAGTAGTGCTCTGGCAGTTGTGATTCCTGACCCAGAACACCTATAACCTTTCTCACTTTCTCAGCAGTAGGAGTGTCTCCCACAGATTTGCTAAGGCTCTTGGAATTTCTAGAGTGATAGAAATTCTTTCATTCTAATGAGGTAATTCCTGGTGGTCTCCTGGAGAGACTCAGATAAAGGCTGGTGTCAGGGTGAGGACCCTGTGATTGGATGATTGGAGTCCCACCCTCCAAACTCTAGAGGAAATCCAGAGGATTCTCAGTCCCACCCTCCAACCTCCAGAGAAAAAAGGAGTTGAAGGTTGAGGTGATCCCCAATGATGGTATCAACACTGCCTACACAATGAGGCCTCCTAAAACACCAAGTGCCCAAGGTTCAGAGTGCTTCCAGAGTGCCGACCATTGAGAGAGCCCACAGAGTGGCACACCCAGAGAATAGTGCACCCCTTTATACACTCCTTGCCCTGTGCTTCTGGCTAGTCCCCTGCATCCTTTATTAATTTAATAAACTGGTAAATGTGTTTTCCTACATTCTGTGAACCAGCCTAGAAAATTAATGAGGATCCTGGTTTACAGTTCTTTGATGAGATTTAGACAACAGACTACAACCTAATAATTGTCACTGGAGGAGGAGATTTTAGACTCCTGGGAGCTTCTGAGATTCTGACTGTAGGTGGTGTCAGAACGGAATTGCATTGTGGTGTCTAGCTGGTGTCTGCTGGGAAATCCTTGGTGTGGTGGGAAATTGTGCATATACGGTGTCAGAAGTGTTCTGTGTTGAATGTTGCATCAAGTGTAAGAGGAAGAAAAGTCTGGTTTCTTTTCCCCTCTTTTACAATATGGCAGAAGAATCCCTGAATTGGTCTCTTGCAAATATTGTACAAAAAAACCAGGGCAGAGCAGGGGCTCAGTGACATAGAGAAGAAGGGACCCATGATAGAGGTTAGAGTGTCAGGGATTTAAAAATTATAGGAGACTAGGGGGATCCTTAGGAGTTTGGGGAAAGTGAGTGGGGAGCATGGCCACCATGACAGAAAACACAAATTTTTGTTGCCCTGAATGAACATTGCCAAAATAAAATCAGAAGATTTGGGATTTTATAGATTAAAAAAAAAAAGAAGACAGAAGAAGCACTTAGCAAACTGTTTGCTGGATTGTGTTAGTCAGGAACAGACCTTTACGGGGAAGTATTTATTTTCTTTGTAGCATCATAGAATCTGTAGGCCCTGCCTTGCCAGGTCTGAATAACCCAGGTGCAGTCTCATGCTTCATGCTTCTCCCAGGCTAAAGAATATTGTGATTTCATTTTTGTGATATTTGAAATCCTTTCTCAGAAACACAGCTACTGTGTGGACCAGCATGGTATGCCCTAATGTGAATAGATGGATCAGGAAAGCCAGCAAGGTGTGTCTGCTTTAGCTTTCTTCTCAACCTCTCCATCCTGGTTCCTTCCTCTAGGTATGGGGTGGGGTCCCTCTGGACTGAGGAGGGTCTGTGACTTACCATCAGACCTAAGGGGTCTGACTATGGACCCTGTATGGCCAGCTTCAAGGCAGAAAAGTGGGGCAAGATTAGAACTTCTATGACCCATTCAGGGGAAGGGAAAATCTTGATTCTATGGACTGCCTTGGGAGACAGTGATGAGCCAGGAACTAGGACCCATGGTGAGCCAGGCACAAGGAAAGCACAGCTGCGTCTTTTCTTCTTTAGTTTGCCATTGCCACAATTAGTGTTGATCTGGCCAATGCTGATCATGAGAAGAGGTGAGAAGGCCTCCAAAGAGGTAAAAGCATACTGAAGCCCAGTTAGAAAGCTGACTGAAGAGGAAGGCATGAAAGGAAGTGCTCATTCTAAATAATATGAAGGCACAGGTCAACAGGAAAGGGTCAGAAGGACTAAAACCCAATAAAGAGCCATAAATAATTCATTCAGTACCTCAACACCGTAACTGATTTGAAATGAAAGAAAAACCAATCAATTACACTGAATCGTTAAGACATACACCTAACCAGCCATTATTATTCTGAACAAAGAAAAATGAACCCCTCTGTATGATTCTTTGTATTTTCATTTAAGGGTTTCTATTTCTGCGGCCAAAACAAGCAGTCAGTTTCGCCAAGCAGCTAGTCATTTCAGGAGGAAAGCAGGGCTTTCAGAGGAGTTAATGTTTCAGAATTCATGCCCCAAGCCCCAGCTGTTTGGCTGGACTTTCACTTTTTATTTGTGATATTGGCACGAACAGACCTAGTTCTTCAGGCCTAGAATGAAAATGGAAAAAAAAAAAGCTGCTAAAATGTGCACAGTAGTTGAGGATTATAGCAAAAAAGATAATCTTCTGCTGAGACAGTGACTATTTCTGAGGAGCTTATACTTCATTTTATGACTCTCCATGAAATCATAGCTATAGACCAGATGCAGGCATGAACATTATTTACATTTCAGGAAAGCAGGACCTGGCGTTTCAAGAAGGTCCATGTTTGGAGCATCTTGGGCAAATACATCACAGTCAGAGTGATTAAACAAACTTGCATTTCCCAGCATCTGACTTCTGGGCTTCCTACATCCTGTTGTGTCATCTCCATGTTGGAGCCAGCCTCACTTCCCCTAGAGGCAGGCACCCCGTGGGTGATTAGCGTTTATTTGTTGAAGATGAAAATGACGGCGGTAATGATCGTCATCTGCAATGAGCAAACAGAAAGCAGCCGAAGGGAGTCCAAGGTAGAATGAGTGTCTGTGGAACTGTACTGTTCATCCTACTGCCAGAAATGCCAAGCTGAAGAGCACCTGAAGAAGGGAAATGTTAAAAAGCAGGGCTATCTTCCTTTCCACTTAGTTCAACCTAAGTTTTCAAGACATGGAAATAAATGGGAGAGTTTTAAAATTTGTTCGTCACAAAAAAAGAGGCGTAAAAACAAGGGAAAGATGGCGAGTTTAACATAAAGCAACTGATAAAACTCCAAGTGGGGAATGAACGTTAAAAGTGAGCATGTAGTAGAGCAACTGACAGATGCGAATGCCACGCACCCTGAGGTCGCGGGGAAATGAATTGATGAATTTGCAGCAATCTCTCCTCTGACAGTGAATAAGAAAACCTGAGGCAGTACCAGAGGAAGCAAGTACCCATGGCAAGCAATTCACTTTGCATCTGACTGATGACAGCATAAGCCTCATGATTTTAATTGGCCTGAAGACTTCAGCGCTGTGCTGTGCAACTATCACACCACCCACAAAATGACGCACAGCGGGGAATTCTGATTATGGACTTCCTGTCTGTTATGCATCATCCTTGTTTTCTGTTGCAGTTGATGTTTTTTCTTTCCTAGTCCATTTCAGAACTAAAACCACTTGGAATTGGAACTGACTTTCTTCTTTAAGAGTAGCATCATACGATCTAAATATAGCACATTCCCAGCCAGACCTTTCTATTAAGTTCTACTTCCCCATAAAATGTTTAATTGGTTGTATAACTTTGGGCAAGAGACAAAGGTACTGGGTCTAAATTTCCTAATTTAGAAGTTAGATTCATTCCAGGCTTTAAATAATATGATTTCCTCTTTGTTTTTTCTAGGCAATGAATCTTCACACATAATACTTCCCAATGAAATATTACAAACTCTGCAAAAAAAAAAAAATCAAGGAAGAAATTACCATAGGGACATTCTTAAGTCCAGGGGAACTATATAGACACTTGTGGGGCCTCAGAAAAGCAAGCAGAGCAGGAAAAGTAAGGACAAAAGATGACACTTCCAGAACTGCTTACCTAGGAGTACTGTCTGGGTGCAGCCATTTGTATCTATGCCAGTTTAGAGTGGGCCCAAGGGCAGGTTCTTATTCTGGGTCAATATTCTAAACAAGAGATTCTATATAGAACATGAGTTTCAGAGATTTTTTAGTAGAAATGATACTTAAAGAGGGCTCTGTAGTAATATAAAATTGGGAACATGCTGGGTTACATAAAATCAAGCAGCATTCTTCCCAGGAGGAGCTTTCAGCATCCCTGATGGTCTCATCTGCATTGTGAAACTCCATGAAGAGGAGTTCATGGTGCTCATCCATCCTCAAACTCGTCTGAACACAAAGCACTCTGTATTTCTTTTTTCTCAAGGAGATTCTCAAAGATTCAATTTTCCAATGAATATACTTTTGAAAATACTTTTTGATAGAATCCATGGCAAGTTCAAGTTTGCTTAAGGGTAAGGAGGGTCCAAGGAATGCCATTAATGTGAAATCTTGGCACTTGCATTAATTAGGCTTGTCCTTAACACACCCTGAATTTGTAGGTAACTCTTAGGGCAAAATTAGCATCCACAATTCATAAATTGGTCTTCAACCTATGTTTGCTTATGGTTTTGTTTCTCTTTATTTGCCTGGTCTTACCACCTGATCAAAAGTTCAGTGTTGACTGGAAGAATATTTTTTAAGTGTACCATCTATTTATACATTTTCCTTTCAGGTGTTCCTGATATATATTCATTTTTATTGACATAAGATTTCAGCAGATATTTGATCAATTTGTCTATCATAAAATTGATGGACTTTACAACTTACATGTGTTGAATGGGAGCAAAAATTTCTATGTATTTATCTGATAAATTTGACCAAACTAAAAATCATGAAGCATTATGGGAATGGAGGCTATAAAGAGAAAGGCTAAATTTGATCATTGCATAATCCATTAGTATATACATTAGTATGTACAGTTAATATACATTAATTAAAAACAAAGAAGATATAGTTGAGTGTGATAGTATATACCTGTAATCCCAGCACTCTTGAGGCTAAGGCAGAAGGATAATAAATTCAAACCCAGCCCGGGCAACTTAGCAAGACTCCTTCTCAAAAGAAAGAAAGAAAGAGAAGAAAAAGAAGAGAAGAGAAGAGAAGAGAAGAGAAGAGAAGAGAAGAGAAGAGAAGAGAAGAGAAGAGAAGAGAAGAGAAGGGAGAAGAATGGAGGAGAAGGCAAGCAAAGGGAGG